GAGTCTTATGTGAATTATAAGGGCAATGAATATTTTATGAACCTTTTTATATCGACTTGTCTATCAAAGTTGTACAACTTTTTAGAGATTATTAATTTAATATTACACACACATTGGTTGAAAAAAAAACAATATACAACGCTTTAGAATTATTTTATCGTGAGGTTAATAAAAGTAAGATTTTAAATAAGTAATGACTTATTCCTTTCTAAATAAAAAAAATACAAATAAAATAGCAATATTCACTTGTTAGATTCATGATATATTAATAAAATATTTTGATTTTTCGTCTATTAAATTATTATTTTTTATATTTTGCTGCACTTTATTAATATTCAAAATATTTGTAATAACATACATTTTAAATAAACTATTTACTTTCAATAACAATATTTTTATTATGTGAATAAATAATTTATAAATAATTTTTTATCAATATTATTTAATTATATATTATGTTTTATAATTATAATCGCTATTCATTTGATAATAAAACGCATTTTATACCTGTTTTAGTTTTGTATAAATCATTAAATTATACATAAATGCATGTTACATTAATAATAATTCAATTTTTAATTCTTTAAATACAATATTAAGATTTATATGTAAAAAACGATAGTCAATCTATTGTTAACTTGAAATATTTATGTGTCGTATTTTTCTTTCACTAAAATAGTCTTATCGATGTGTCTAATATAATAAATTAGAAGTCTCGAGATAATGATTTGAAAATGCAAATTTAAGGACACATAAAATATTATCTAAATTCATTGGAAACAATTTTAATTAGGAATTTACAAAATAACCATAAAAAAAATGTGTATGATAAAACATGTACATTTTATATTTTGCATATTTAAAACTTTCTGTTTTATAATGTCAACTTACACATTATTTATTTAAATTTTTAAAAAGAAAATATTTTAATAAGCCATAATTGATCATTGATTATCCTTCAAATAAAATTGCTAATACAAATCACTCTAAATTTAACGAAAGTACTTGATATACTGTTTTGGAACAAAAATTATACCATTCATACTTTGTTATTTTAAACCTGAATGTTTATATTTAAATAATACTATACGTACACTTCCTAGTATTCAATAAAAATAAAAATTGTTATGTAAGTAATTAAAAGTTGACACTAGAATCTACATTATGCTTAATAATCACATATTATTATTATTTTTATTTATTTTTATTATATATACATAGAATATATATAATTTTTATTGAGTTTAATAACACATGACTTTATAGCTATTAGTTTGGAGTCTCATTTTATTTTAACAAGATATATATATTTAATTTTTAAAGCATATAGTAGTTTTTTTTTTTTAATAATAATATTGATTAATAAAAATATTAATTTTATAATTTTTAATTATAAACGAGTCGTGTCTTGAAGAAAAATTGATTTTTAAAGACACTTACATTTGAATTTTCACAAAATAAATATTTTGTTTTTAATTTTAATTTATAATACATAAGTATGACAAAACAAAATTTTTGTATAAAATATATTTCTAAATAAAATTTATAATATTATAATTAAAAAATGTCTCAATTTGAATTTATTGGTTTGCAATTTGTGTAAGTTTATCTTTTTCATTAGAAAACATCTCTTATCTTGTATCCTACAAAAATTAATCAGTCATAAGTTGTGTTATCTAAAAAACAATTTACCTAGCATATGTAAACGAAAAAAAAAAACATAGAGGCACAGCTTTTTTTTGGGATATAACATGTTTGCAGTTAAATCAACTTATAGGCCGAGTTAATTAGTATAACTTATAATTGACGTATGAACATCAATCAAATCATTAAATTTATAACGACAATTTTAGTAAGTTGCTTACTAGTTAGAATCATATTTGAAAATAAAAAAAAATATAAATAATGCTGCCAATTCTACTAAATTTAATATTTTTTTATAATACAATTTGGCAGAATCTTAATTAGACAAGTAGCTACCAATTAATTAAAATAAAACATCAAAACTTTGAACACAGATTAACTATTATGAACTCTAACTCAATTAATGAACAGTAATTAATATAATTTATAATTACTTCAATCAATTTTAATTATGAAATACTCTAATACAGAATTTATTTTTATTTTTTTATTTGAATTGTGTATATAATTTGAATTGTATTATTTTTTTACTATTAAAATTTAAATATAAAAACAAGAAAAATATTTTTGATTCGTTTAAACTTGATAACAGGAAAAACAACCACTGCTAGTTCCCTGCTTTGTTGTTTGCGTTTAACCAACGGCTTCATAAACTGATTAAACTACCGTTTTGTCGCTACGATGTTTTGAAAAATGACGATCAACTGGATTAGACGAATGATTGAAAACGGTAAAGTCGATCAGGCATTAAAATATATCAACAACTACCTACAATGCAGTGACTGTAAAGCCAAAGAGGATTTGGGAAAAAACATGTCAAACATTCGATATCATTTAACGTCAATATTTTCCATTAGTTTATTTACTAATGATTAGTTGGTGAGAAAAACGCATTTCTAAAGAGTATTAATATACGTTTTGAAATCTATTTCTTTACGGATCTAAATCGTTCTTAGAACTCAATCCTAAATATTGATCTGATGAAATTCACTTATCGAGGTTTTTTGATTGAAAATAAATTATGTAGTTTATAAAATTACATTTTTATGTTATATGTGTGATTTACTATCATTGAGATTAAAAAACATTGAATTTATGTACATAATTAATTAGGCCAGAGACTAATGTGTTCATGTAACTAAACTATATAGAGCAAACACTATAAAAATATATTACATATAATTTGAAAATTATTGGACATTAAACTTTGTATTGCCAATAATAACTCATCCGTTGATTTATTTGAATTCCTTATTTCTTTCTTATTATAAAACAAATTTAAATTTAGAACATAAAATAATTCATCGTGTCGTTTGTTATAGAAATTAAAATAACAATGATAGTAACTTATAATTATTATACTATGGATTATTAAGTTAATTCATTTTATCCGTTTTTTTAAGCGAAACACCAAGTTTGTTTTTTAAGAATATAAATTAAATTAATATTGAAAAAAAACCATCTGAAAACCTTGATATTAACCAGAACTATTAAATTCACCAGAATTTCAAACTTTTGTTATCTGTAATATATATATATATATATATATATATAATAAATAAAGCAAAATTGAATATTATTAATATTATAAGTATCCAATAGTATAATATAATGTAACTTGTTATCTATACTTATTAAAAACAAATAAGAAAACAAGTTTTTTATGTGAAGAACTTAATGTATATTATCGATCATGTTATACAATGAAGAAACTCAGAAACTGAGTGAATAAACTCTATCAAACATAAACATATTATAATTTAATAATACTTGTAATACATTTAATAAAACTTTTAGACTAACTTGTTAGTTAGGTATTCGCATCTTAAATGGCAAATTATTGTTTTTTTATTTTTATTTTTATGTAATTGTGTCAAAACGAATCGTAAAAAAATATTCAAACCAATAAGTTTAAACGTAAATGTAAATTAAATAATGAATAAAATCATGAATTCATTAAAATCTATAAAAAAAAATACACAATGAATGAGGTAATTTTTTTTTTTTGATTATGTTAAGTGTGTTACTACGTTTTTGAATAAAAACTTAGCTCTAATCACAACATTAGTGTGTGATGGACAAAACTTATTTGGTTGGTGCTCGATATTTTTAAAAAGTCGTAGATCGAAAATTCTAATTAACAAATTTACATTGTAACTAACAAAAAGTACCGGGAAAGGAAAATATAACACACTATTAGTTTATAGAAAAATTATTTTTTTTCTTCAAATAATAAAATCAAATTTTAAAGACTTGACATTTTAACTAAATATTTAGATTGGAATTTCATAGAAAATAAGACATTTTAAAAGGATATTAGTTTTTATTATGCTATTAGAATAAACATTTAAAATTTTGTATAATATTATACTTTTAAATGTAATACCTTTAAGGATTAGATTTATCACAAATAGGAATACTATTATCAAATATCAAAAATAAAAAACAGTCTGTATTTAAACTATTTAAAACTAAAATTTTGGCAAAAATTAGATATTTAAGTGAAAATTGATGATTTTTTTTCATAGTTTTAATTTTAATTAATTATTATTATTCATTTTTTTTTTTTTTTTTAAGAAAATATTATAATCTGTTTAAATTAATTGAATAGGTAAATTTTTAGTACAAAATATATAATATACAAGTCATCAATAATATTTGTAGATATTGATGGAACCGGTACGGTGACATGTCGAGAGATAAGACGTAGAATGTAATCGCACCAGAGCGTATATGTATGTACGGATGTATATAATATATTTGTTTCTTTTACCAACTAATTTTATGGTTTAAATGGATTTCCTAAGGGGCAGGCTTTTTCAATGTATGGGGCGTACTGAAGAAAAATAGGCGTTTCAGACAATTGTAATCAAATTAATTTTAATTGCGAAATACTGAACACGCTAAACTAATATTTTAATCAAGTCAGAACATTCATTATCGTGTGTGGATAAAACGACTGTAGTCCAAAACTGAGATATTTGATACATTTTTATTAGACAAAAAATAAAAATTTATAAATTTAAAATTTCCACAAAATTAAATGATTAATTTATACGTATAACAAATTTATCTAAATTGATACTTCTTTAAATTTATTTATAATGACAAGAACAATATCATAAGTCACGACCATGTATTGAGTTATAAAGTTCTCATAAGTATTATGTTACTTTTTTTGACAATAATTAATTCAACTTACAGGATCAAAACCATTCTATAAACTTCTTTGTAGAAATAGATAATGTAAAAATATAAGATTTTACTTTCAAATATTAACAATATTTTCACATCCAAAATAAACATAATATAGTGTAATTTTGACTTCAACTAAATGTCTATAAATGTTTAATTACCGTTCTATCGGATACATGTTTGACTCTGCAGTGGAGAATGGCAGTTTGACCCACAACAGCCGTAACATTATGAGGTGAAACATCATCAAAAAGTGGTCTTTGTACGGACATTTCTTTTTGTGACACAGGTTGTATATTTTGAATTGTTGAGCTCGGCTCCATTGAAACTAAAACAAAAATTCAAAATCCATTTAAGTTTCAATAGTTACATGACAAATTGTGTTTCTAAATTGAAGACCAATGTAGATAAAATATTTACATGTTTTGTACTATTTCATAATTTTAGCTATGTATTTTAACTGATTTTTCAAGAACTGGTAATATATAATATATACAATGCCTTTTATAATAACCATTTTGTCACAAAGCGGTAAATAATATTATTTAGTTTAATATTTTAATTTTACAACTTTTATTTATTTATTTACTCAATAAAACAATTCTATGTTTTGAAATTTCATAAGAATAAAGATTGTGCTGTTGTTTTGAAAGAAGGTACCTGTCAAACAAAATCTAGAATTCCACACATAATATTATTTAAATCATTTTTTTATAACAATGTTTTACCGCAGTTTAATATGTTTTTTAAAAGAAGTAGAAGTAATATTATAAATTACTATAAAATCTTATATTATGAAGGACGTGTAATAAACTAACTATTGTCAAGTGTTAGAATAGCAAATTTAAATAATCTTATGAGTGCAAATCCATTAAAGTATATAATATTTTACCTAATAAAAAATTATGATAAATCGTACAATACAATTTGATTAAGCTGATCACTAAAAAAGTTCTGTTTTATCATAATAATTCAAAACTCAATAGTTATGTACTTTTGTTTATGATCATACAATGATCAAAGTTATATATTATACAAAAAATAAATAAATAAATAAGAAGAAGATTTTTAATTAAAAATGCACAATTACTATAATAGTTATAATATTGTATTATCTGCTTGTTTTGAAATTAGAAATATATTTTATTATGTTTTTAATTATTTATTAAGAGATATTTCCAATATTATGAGACACTGCCTTGATTGGTTATAATTTTCAAGTATAATTTGAAAACACTTGATTTGTATAAAATAATCAAAAACGACAAATAAAAAAGGTGAATTTTTTTTTCGTTTGCAAAAACCCTTGAATTTGTTATAAATCTCAAAACAGTACAGTTAAAACCTAACCTAACCACTACAGTGCTACTGTGGTGGCTGTAATAATATTTTAAATTATATGCTAACTTCCAAAAATTTATGGCTCTAAAAGAATATTGATTGATGATTGCTTTTCTACATTGAAATTCAGTACTCTGAAATATATTATAGCAATTATTATAATGATTACTTTTTTCAATTTGTATATTGTTTCGTAAAGGATATTGTTCGATAACTTCTGTTATTAAAAAAAAAATATTCGTATTATGAAGATAAGATATATCTACATCTTGTATTACGTTATTGATTGAGTAGTCATTATAAGAAAAATAGAGATCGTTATATCTTCAATAACAATAAAAAAAAAAAATAAAAGGATTCAAATTATTACCGTTTTAATACTAATATCTAATTTTAAAGCTCTATGAACGAAACAGAAATGTACACTAGAAACATTGACTACCTACTCACAGTAATTTATCTTTATTCAGAAAAAATGCATATGATATTTTAAAATAATTTAGATGGGGAAAAAAAAAACTTCTGGTTATACCCATAAGCATTTAGGAATGATAGTTAACTGTGTTATTATTTCTACTGTGTAATCTATTTATACTTCAGTATTATATCTGACGATATGTAGTTTCAAATAAAACTCATGTTAACTATAGCATATGATTTCATTTTTGAAAAATCCTATTGTCCGCGTTTATATTTATTTCAATATATTATATAATGCTTTTCATCGTACTAATATATTCTTTGATTTTTTCAATTTTGTCATGACTTTGTTTGAAAAGATTGGAGCTTAAGTGATTGTAAGTACTAAGTTTCGTTAAAATCCATCTATGTACTTCAACTTAGACTTAACTGATCACAATTCTAAATGGGTCAGTCTATATTTAAGATTTGTTTTATAACTTTATAGACTTAACACGGTATGATTTGTTTAACTAAGTCACCATATTTGTACTCTTTTACGGAGCTGCTTACTTAAGGTAATAATGTAATTTATCTTTTTTCTTTAAGCGATTGTAAGTAGTAAGTACTAAGTTTCGTTTAAATCCATCCATGTACTTCAACTTAGAATTAACTTTCGATCGCAACTCTAAATGGGTCAGTATATATTTAAGATTCGCCTCATAACTTAACATAGTATAGTTTGTTTAACTAAGCCATCATATTTTTACACTTTTACGGAGCTGCTTATTTAAGATAATTATGTAATTTATCCTTTTTTTCTTTATTATATGCTTTCCACACCTCACTTACGTACAAACCCGCATTTATGGATAAATAATTTGTTTTCAAAAGGATGCAACTTTTGTTTGTTTGGTGATACCATTGTGTTTATTTTGAAACTTAACGTACATCAACGTTGTATAGCTAAGTGTTGTACAATATAGTTGTTGTTTCATCACAACAATACCGATTTAATACCTAAAAATATAATTTTTACATAATGTGCTTTTTTAACTTAATATCAGTTTTGTACAGAAAAAGTTTGTATTATAACCAACATTTATATTTATTTTTATGAACTTTAATAAATTACATTTATTTTACTCACGATATTCAAAATTTGATAAACAATTCAATTGTTTTTAATATTACTTATAAATGTGTATAAATACAATATTGTTGATATTGTTATATGTATTGTTTATTTGTTTATTTCCATTAAGCTCGTAAAAACAAACTGTTTGGTATTAATAATTTATTTATTTTTTTTTTTTAATAATTGCATTGTGGCCATTAAAATGAAAGGTCGTGATAATATCATAACGACGCAAGGGAGTGTTAAGCATTTATTCATCGGCCTAATATCATCGGTTTTTTTATGAAGACCAAAAACGACCAAAGGATTTACTAGAGTCTCCGACATAGGTCTACAAAGGTATTTGTCAAATGACAAAACGGACCTCGATTTTTCTTGCCTTTTTTCCGGAAAACACGATCCCAATTTTTCAAGACTTTTAACTCATTTGTTCCGCCGCCCATTTTTAATACGTTGGCCATTCGAACTATACTGACACAAATTTTTCTTACTGTTTCCATCTCCAGGTACTTTTCTTTTTTTAGGGCTTTAATAAATGATGAGAAGGAATGAAAAATCTACTGATAAAGATTGTGCAATGTTTTTGAAATAATGTTTACTGGTATAATTCATCGGAGTGTTCTACTTTATTTTCTCTCGCTGTAAGGAAGTATATCAAACATAAGACTCAAATTCCTCACTATTGTTTTTGTTTTATACATAACTATTAATAAATATTTTGGCTCCTTATTGAGGCGTTTGAGAAATATTTAGTTAATAATTGAATCTCCAAAAATAAACTTTGTTGTAGTCAACAGTTTAATAGTTAATTATTTTACAAACAAACTCTTATCATATTTGTGATAAGATTGCCCAAATACAAATACATTATAAATAAATATGTTATATATATATAAATATATATATATAAAGATAGTTTTAAATAACAGAAAACAACTAAAATAATTGGAAGTTCATTTTCCACATTTATTATTTAATATATTATTTGAATAAATCGTTAATAAATAAAAAGTTATAATATAATAATATAAAAATATACATTTATATACAAAACATTTAACAAAAAAAAAAAAAAAATAAAATAAACAATGTACATTAAATGTATGTTTTTATTAGAAAATGTATTACTAAATAACAGATACAACAATTTTAACTCAATTATTACTAAGTTCAGAATTAAATTGTGTAAATTTATTCTCTATGAATATATGTTATACACAAACTATTTCAGTGATTTTCGCCAATATTATTTCTTGTCAAAGTTTTCACTCTACTTTGAATACTCAAGTGTTTTTTCTTTAAAACATGTAGTTACTAAAACAGCTTAAGCTAGCTTCTATATGAAACTTAAGAGAACAATATTTTAAAATTGAATTCGACTGATTTTTTTCATATCTCAACGTATTATACTATGTAATATGTATTAACCTGTTTAATAAAATGATTAATAATAAATGTGTAAAAATAATATGTCATTTAAATTCTCAAAGATATCAGGAGAGATGCCATCGTCAGTAATCTTAAATATTTTTATAAAAAAAAGTACAAATGTTTTATTAATTTGGCTACTTTTTTTAAATAACCCATAATATTTTATCACACTATGACTTTTTTCATATATTATTACTTAAGTATACAGAAAGTACACACAATTTCCAAAAAAATAAAGCTCATAAAATAATATCATATTTTTATCATTACTTTACAGTACATCTGCTATATACTCTTCATTTCATAAACATGGTACTAATTCACAAAAAACTGAATTAAAATGTATGTTAAAGTCAGAAAGTCAGGAGTAAATAATACTTAGGCTTTATGATTTAATAAATATAACATCCTGTAAAGTATTTTTTTTTTTTTTAATTTCAATCTAAATGTTCAGTGAATAATATTAATTATGATCAAATATTACATTATTTTCTCGATATATTTTTTTTTTTTTTGAACTTAAATTCGTATTTTAAAGTAAAAATTCAAAAAAAAAAAAATAAAAAAATAAGTAAATAAATAAATTCTATTCTTATTAAAAGTCTATTATTTTTTATGTTTATGCATTTTGTTAGAATTGTTAATAAAATAATAGTAATATCAATAAATCAAATTTATCACATGCATAAAAACAACAAAGTTGAATAAAGATCTGTTTTTAATGTGTTGAAGGTAATTAAATACAACTATTATAAAAAAACATGAACTTCAAATTATGTATACATAAACGAAATTGGTACATAATTTAGATTTATTTTAATAGCTTTTCGGTGTCAACTACAGGGAATGTTGCATTTTTTATCAACTTTCTGATTACATTATTGAAATGCACATAAATCATTTATTAACCTGTATATTTGATTTTAACGATTTTTTTTATTTCAAGCTTTTAATTTCTTATAAAATAATATTATAATAATTTAATAAAATATAATGTTTTTATTATAAATTATTTGTGA